CTCACTCACTCCCTGCTCCCGTTGGCCCACTTCATTCCTGCGTTATTCAGTAAACCTTTGAAACCAGTCAACGGCTGTGTGAGTCTGCTCACTGATCCCAGTAATCCCAGTAAGACAACACTAGAAGGTAGCCGCGATGGTGGGCACATATAACTTTCAGTGATAAATGTCTCAACAGCTTAAAGCTGACATACACCATCAAAGTGTACAGCGCTGGTTAGCAGGGCTGTCATCTGTTTACTTTGCCATCTGCTATCTTAGTGGCCGGCGCTACTGTAAGTACCAGCTCTGAGCACATTAATAACATAATAATACTACATTTAACCAGGCAGTACTTCTGGCACAGACTAGCAAGAGGAGTAATATTTAAATGTCTAGTCGACTACTCGCGTATAGACTTCTGCCTCCTTAAAATTAAATGCATTAAGGGGTCCAGCTCTACCAGACCAATATGGCGACTGTCATGAGGCGTTGTTAAAACGAACAGCAGTAACAGGTGTAGCATCTAAGTCTAACTGTCCATGTTTACAGAGTAAGCAGCTCGAGTAGAGTGGATGCCCTCTGCATCACTGACAGGCTAAAGGTGAAAGAATGAACAAACATGAGAGTCCAGCGTGGTGAGTAGTTTTCTCTTCCTCTTATATGACGCGTTTTTTCAGTGCAAAATCGTTCATGTTCATGTTGTAGAGAAGAAATAAGAGCGGGTAGAATACTAAGCGCCTGTTCCCCTGTTTGTTGACCTATTTGTATCCACAGTATATCTGTGGCCACCAGTCCTCGCCTGCACTATGTTCCACTGCCACAACTTCTAAAGTCGAACACAATGCAGAGCTGCCTGTAAAAAGCTACAGAGGCTGCAGAGCAGCAGAGCAGACAGCCATCTCACAGCGACAGCTGGATGTGTTTAATATTTACTATTACAAGCCGGTGTCGGCGAGCTCCAACTCAATCCAGCCGAAAATGCCAGGCGAGTATGTGAGGGGAAACAACAAGCAGCTCTTATGACAGGAATCAGGCTGGAAACGCAGAAGAACAAGAAGTCAACCCTTCTGCCTGAATTCAAACTTTCTCAAATGAAAAACAGAAATAGTTCATTATGAAACAATTGAAGACAAAATGCTGAAATAATCTATCAAAACGATTTCTCCTGAAGCATCGGGGGATAAAAGCCAAACAGCTAATTGTTTTTCCGAGAAGCACGAAGCTCAGTTTCCCACGAGAGGTAATAAGTACACGTGCGGATGTGATGCAGAACCACACACTCCCACAAGGAACCCGCTGAACCTCCATGTAAACAAGGTGTTTTATAAAACATCAGCACTGAAAGGTTCCACTTCACAGCACCCGGCTCTCTCCAAACCTCAAACACATGCTCGCCACGATACGCCGCTATATGAACGTGCTGCTCGCCAAACCCACCTCCACCCTCGAAAAACTGCGACTGTCACTGTGATGATCCTGATTTCCTCACTGCATTGTGAGACTTGGATAAGTGGAAGGGTGCTGCATCTTTTTTCTAGATTTTCAGAAAGAAAACAAAAAAGTGAAGAATAAGGAATGAAAAACAGATCAGGATTTCACACAAGTATGGTGATCTACAGCCGCAACCCAGGTGCAAGAGCTTTTCATTAGTTCTCATCATTTAATAGGAAAGCAGTTTTATTTAAGATCCTGTATAATAATGTGAAGTTTTTCTTTTACAGGTCTCCACAAACTCAAACGTTTACATTTTTTCCTCTTGCCTGTTGTCATGTTTATCCTGTCGTGCTTTTCAGGCAATTTCAAAGTAATATACAATTCCTTTTAGAGCTGGGAGCTTGCACTCCCCCAAATCTCTGCCACGAATATGAAAAGTTTGAGGTTGAAATGACCCACTGTTACGTCCCCACATAAAAGCTAGGCGATGAGGGTGGGGGACAGTAACAGTTGGATCCGGGTGAAATGAAAAGAACGCCAGCCACAAAGCAAGGAAATAAACCTTGCGTATCTTTTAAAAAGCAAAGCAACAGTAAGTAAAGGGCAGCATGACTTTGTGGACTGAAATGATCAGAAAGTGGTTCAAATCAAACGTCAAAGTTGGAAACTTCTAAGGTGAATGGTGCTCTACACGAGCAGTTGGGACAATGGTCACGCCAGCGGCGGCGAGAGTCGTGGCTGCAGAGGTACCTGCAGCACGTGCGCTCACTCTCATCTGTCGTGGCCCTCGTTCTCGGACCTCGGCTTTTGAGTTTTTGGATTTCAAATTGTGTTTATCATTAAATATTTTTGTCTTTGTGTATTCCTCTGTAGTTTTAGTCTTTAGTTCTAGTTCCAGGTACTATTTCCATTAGAGTTCATTACATCCCTCACGTTTTTCCTTCAGTCTTTCCCCACGTTAAAGTTATTTCCGTGTCAGTTTTCCTTTTTAGTTATCGTTACTTACTTCCTGTTTTACTTTGTCAGTTGTTTGTCTTCTGTGTCCTGTTAAAAGGGAGTTTTTCCTTCCCACTGTCGCCAAAGTGCTTGCTGATAGGGGGTCATATGATTGTTGGGGTTTATCTGTATATATTATTGTAGGGTCTTTACTTTATAATATAAAGCGTCTTGAGGCGACTGTTGTGATTTGGCGCTGTATAAATAAAATTGAATTGAACTGAAGTGCCTCCCCTGTGATTGTATTGATTGTGTGCACCTGTGTCTCATTCCTCCCAGCTGTATCCAGTCCCCATTAGCCCTCAGTGTGCATGTAAATGCAATCCTGGCGTTCCTTTGCTCAGTGTCTGTATCTGTTATCATCCATTTGTACTCTTTGCTACTTGGACTTTTTATCAGCTGAAATAAAGGCTTGCCTTTTGTTTTGTTCATTCACTTTTTCATATGTTGTTTTTTTCGTCTTTGGGTCCTCAATCCTGTATGAGCAATCTTCTCTCGTTTGGTGTTTTGATGATGGTTGTGGGGAGAAAAGTGTGGGGCCAAAAATCTCCCACAGCTGTTTAATTTGGTTGAGATTTGATGACTAAGAAGGTAATGATGTATGCAGTCACATGCTCATCACTCGTGACCACAGATGGGGCAGCTATCATCTTGGAAGAGTCCAATTAGGGCAGAAATTACTCAAGACCGCTTCCCATTGGAGCAGCTTCGCATTTACTTGCAGTGACCATTCCCTCTAAAGCAGAGGTAGGGAACTCCAGACCTCAAGGGCTGGTGTCCTGCAGGTTTTAGATATCACCCTGGGTCAACTCACAATCAAATGATTAGTTCATTACCAGACACGTTAAGGAGGTCATTTAGCCATTTAAATCAGCTGTTTTTATCAAGGACACGTCTAAAACCTGCAGGACACCGGCCCTCGAGGCCTGGAGTTAGCCACTCCTGCTTTAAGCAGAAACAATGGTCCCAAACACGAAAGGAGAATGAGGCTCGTGAATGGTGCTTTCTGTTAATCTGACAACTACTAGATGACAGTCTGGGTA